TGGTATTGACCCCTTCTAGGGTAAACACAGGTGAACACCCAGCCCGAAGCCCTGGTAATAGGCAGCGAGGGAGGTCTCTATGTGTCGTTCATATAGGAAAGTAGTCGGGGGACACTCAGTAAACCCCCCCACCATCCTCTTATTTCCGAAGCTCTGAACACCGTTCGGCATAGCATCGCCGGTCCCTAGGTGTGCGGAATGGTTTGGACTTTTCGGCTACGTCTCAGGATCCATACGTAAGAAACGCCTACTAGCCCGAAGCCCCGGAAATAGGCAGCAAGGGAGGCCTCAGTGTGTGTCGCTCATATAGGAAAGTAGTAGGGGGACACTCAGTAACCCCCCCCCCCCCCCCAAACCGCATCCACTTATTTATGATGCCTGGAGCGGGAAACGCCCAAGCCCTGTATGGCCCGTAACATACCACAAAATACGCTGCGGAGCAGGCTTCTTTGGATGGCTACTATAGGGGACACTCAGTAACCACCCTCAACATCCTCTTATTTCCGAGGCTCTGAACACCGTATTGGTTTTCCATATCCTTCAATCTGCATCAAGCCCATAACTATAGCCAGGTCAGTGATCTTGTTCGCGCCCATGTCCGAGAGCCGTGGCAGTGCTTCTGGGCGGATGTGATCCACGAGTTGGAGGAGAAGCAAAAGGTGCGTCTACGCAAGGGCTTGTGTCTCGCCATCACGCCTGAACCGTGCCTGCTGCCTTTGACTCCTTGTGTTATTCCAGTGTTGCGGGGAGTCGGAGCATGAACGTGTGGGACATCGTCTGGGATGGCGTACGCGAGTTTAGGTACGGTGTCTATAATATACTCAGCCAGCAAACGGGCACCTCAGGCAAGTGCTGCCACAGGGGTCGGCAAAGAAATTCCTTGCAACTTTGCCAGAGGGGCAGCACATAGCCAATACGTGGAGGTGTCGCTATGCTGTTATGGAGCACTCCCGATCGGACGACAGCCGTCCTTGGCATTTCCTGGATCATGCGAGCAAGCGGCAGTAGCTACCCACTTCCGTGAGTGACCTCATGGATGTGGCCCCGCCCTCCTGGCGCCCTGCAGTGCTGCGGTTTGGATGGAACGATCACAGACATCCGCAGAATGTTGTGCACTGCCCTTTCCAAGGTAGGAGCTGCAGGAAGCCTTGCTGTCTATCAGCCGTGCGCTCGCGGATGAGCCTTGGGTCCAGAGCATGGTGTCTGTGCATGGACATTGAGTCCAGCGAGTCCACGAAGGACGCACAGCAGCCAATGAAGGTGATGAAGTCCGAGCGGGGCCAAGCTGCTGCAACTGTCCGTGTTAAGCTGGCCCGGAGCAGGGCTTGCAATAGCCAAGATGTGAACAATTAGTAAATGGTCTGAAAAAGTCCGGAATGTCTAGAATCGAGAAGTCGTGCAGAATGGCGCGCATGCGAGGGGAATCATTGAAATGCCTGAAGCCCATTGGGCACTTGCCCCTGCAGCGACCAGACGCAATTTGCAATGATTGCCAGCACACACACGCACACACACACACACACACAACACACACACACAGATAAGCCACACACACGCACATACGCGCGCACACACACACACACACACTTCTCTCTCTCTTGCTTGCAAACGGACAAGGAGAGTGCATTTTCTCTCTCTCTCTCTCTCTCTCCCACTTCTCGCCCTTGCATTTCTCGGGGGGGCACAGGGCCACACTGGATTTAGAGTTTCGGCTTGGATGTTGGATGAGACACCATGTAAAAACACTCCTCCGCGGCCTATTTCCTGCATCTGACCCTATCCTCTCCGAAATAGGCTGCTGACAGTCCACGAAATAGGCGGGGACCTAACTACCTACCCCCCCCAGATTCCTATTAATAAAGGGGGGCATGGTTTAGGGTTTAGGGACTCAGGGATTTAGGGGTTTAGGGTTTAGGGACTCAGGGATTGAGGGGTTTAGGGTTTAGGGATTCAGGGATTCAGGGATTCAGGGATCTACGAGTTTAGGGTTTGGTGATGGTTTAGGGTTTAGGGTATAGGGTTTGGGGCTAGGGTTTAGAGGGTTTTAGGGATTAGTAGCCGTAGCCTTGCGGCATTTGCTGAAAGATGATGACTTGGGGGAAACACAGCAGTACTTAGGACCCTTTGGGTGTTAGACTGAGAGGATGCCCCGAAACCGTACGCCTTCACAGACCCAAGGTGATTCTGTTGATGGACAAAATCCTGCATTACCCCAAGGACTCTAAACTATGGGAATACGGTATATTCCTTCTAAACTATGGGAATTATTGTATATTCCTTCTTATGGGTAAATGCAGGATTTTGTCCATCAGCCGTTTCTCTTGATGCAATCGAGTCCTTCAGGGAGGGGTCTCCTGAAGAGGAAGATAGGACAACCATTTTTAGAAGCCCCTTACAGGTGGGTAGTTCTTCTTCCATAGTACTCCCATAAGACCCCCTTTACCTTATAGGAGTGGTATGGAAGGCTTATTGGAAACTACCCACCTAATAACTACCCACCTGTAAATGGCTTAGAATTTTTAGGGATACCAGCCATGACAGGATACCTCAGGGCCTGGCTGGCGTAAACCAGCTTGACTCCAACACCCTCGGCAAAAACTCCAAGCTGTAAAATACCTCAGACACGAAACAATCAAACCCTAAACCTGTCCGTAACCCTGAAGAACCTACCTTTTTAAGGACTTTTATAAGGAAATCATAGTAGGGAACCCTAAAACGGTAGGTTCTTCAGGGTTAAGGGTAACCCGAGACATGTATTCAGAAACACGCCGATCCTTAACCCAGCAAGCAGAGAAACAGAACTCATGGTACATGTATAGAAGAGCCCAGCCCTTAGAACCCTGTTCGGCTTCGGGATTAGGGTGTATACTTCCCTTGGTTTAGGGCTTGGGGTGTAGGGTTTTGGGTCTCTTCGGGCTTTAGGGCGAAGGGTGTAGGGTTTGGGGTCTCTTCGGGGTTTAGGGCGCAGGGCGTAAACCCTAAACACCAACCCCCTAAACCCTCAAACCCCAAAACCCGACATAAACCCCCCTAAACCCTAAAACCCCAAAAGCTTCCCAAAACCCCAATCCCCTAAACCCCTAAACCCCTAAAACCCTAAACCCCAAACCCTAAAACCCCAAAACTTCCCAAAACCCTAAAACCCCTAAATCCCTAAAGTTTCAGGAACCCTAAACCCCAAACGCCAAACCCCCAAACCCCTAAACCCCAAAACCCTTAAACCCTAAACACCAAACCCCCAAACCCCTAAAACCCCCAAATCGCTAAAGTTGAAGGAACCCTTACACTTACACTATACTGAACTTGGAACCCTAGCAAAAATTAGAATTTTCGCTGTTTCTTACCGATTATACTAACCTTACTAACCAAAAATTATAACTTAATTTCTAAGTACCCCTACCTTAAGCCGGAGTAACCTACCTTTCTAAGGGCTTATATAAGGAAATCATAATAAGGAGCCCTAAAAAGGTAGGTTATTCCGGCTTAAGGTAAGTACGGCACCCAAACCTCGGAGATCGCTTCCACTCTTCGGGCAATGCTCCCTCCTCGGATGTCGCGTACCTGCCGACATGGACGATTTAGGGTTTACGCTATCGCAACTCGGACAATCCCTAGGGTTTCGGGTGTACTAGGGTTTAGGGTTTCGGGTGTAGGGTTTCGGGTGTAGGGTTTAGGGTGTAGGGTTTAGGGTGTATTTAGGGTGTATAGGGTTTAAGGTGTTGGATTGGCTTTTTTTGAAAGGCCCTTTTCCGTCTTCGGGGTTGAGGCTTCCCTGTCTGTGTCTCTGAAGGAATCTGTGCTTTTCGGCCCTTGGGTGTGTTAAGTTCAACGTCGCAGTTCAGTGCTTACGGTCTCTGCTCAATCCGGGCTTCGGATCACGGCAATTGCCAGGCCGGGGCAAGCTCCATGCCGCTCCGGGGAAGCCTTTTTTTGAGGGCCCTTTTGGGAGTGTGCAGCTGCTCAAACCCAAGTGAAACTTTTTTGGAGTTCGATGGTTTTGTAGGGTCTACAGTGCGGTTCTGCGTTTGGGGTTTGTGGATATTGGGATCTCTGCAGTGCTTGAATTTCTCCCTGTCTGACGGTTTCGAAGCCCACACCAGCACTACCGGCCAGGATCCATCAGGATCGTATAGGGGCCGTCACAACTGAAAACTGATGGAATAGTAGTAGCAACAATTGGCAATAACTGAAGCCCCTGTAGTTGCTGGGGTTTAGGGTTTATAGGGATTCGGGTCTTCAAAGCAAGGCTGAACTGCGAAAACTCAGCTGCGTGACAAAACCTTAAATAAAGCAGGTTGAGGTGGGGGCCTTAATGATTACCGAAAGGGTTCCAAGGGTTCCTTTAAAGGGGTCTATAAGGGTTACTATAAGGAATCAGAGCCTGGGTTCTTGTTTAAGGGATTTAATTTAAGGTACCCTAATAAGGAAACCATATTGTTTACTATAGATGCCTACTATGTAGTTTAAGGTACCATAATACGGAAACCATGGTGTTTACTATAGATGCCATTTATGGTAACTTAAACTAAATAATTTTCCTTAACAAGAACCCAGAGGCAGGCTGAAGAAGCTCAGGACATCGCCTTTTTCAGTCCAATTCTAAACAAGAAGCGCGTGATGAGAAGAGACGACATCCCTGCCGAAGCTGACATCGAAGCAGCAGAGGATGCGCAAACTGCCTCCCTTAAGGTGGAAGCAGGAGGAACGCACGCTGTCCAAAGAGGCGACCGAATTAAATGAAAGCCTGTGAGGTGAAACGAAGCGTGCAAACCGAATGACAACTTACTCGGTGAAACATAACCGAAGTGCCGTCCTCAGCTTCGGAAGAAATCTGAGCTGCTTGATCTTGCATCTTGAAACACATCAGCAACTGGACTTGCTCGGCTGGCAGCTGCGGAAGAAACCACAAATCTGCCCTGGGTGCGAAGCACTGGCGGAAGCTGAGCTGACTCGGATGGTTCATATTTAGAACCCTATAAGGTAATCCCCAAAAGGAACTACTATGGAGCCAATGGGTAGCCATCATAGCCCTCAAACTCACGAGCCGCCAAGGTCCTGGCTCCTGCTCGTCGTTTAACCCTGGCCCTCTTCTGCGCTTCGAGATGAAGTCGATTGCGACGCGTCCTGGCTTCACTCTCGGTGCAGAGATGGCAGTGGTCACAGGCGTCACCTCTGCGGCATCCATCTCCCATTCGTGTGTGGTAGAGGCACGGAATGCATTGCCCAATCTGGTGGAGGACGAAGCCAGCAGAACACTGGACCTCATAATCCCCTCCCAGGTGATACCGTGGAGCAAACGGGATGGAAGACGCAGGGTCAACCTCGTGTGAGTTCTCCAGCTCGTGCTTGGAAACGGTAGGCGATGCCCAGTGGGCCCCAGAAGTGCTCTTGAAAGCATTATCATTGGAGGTCTTGCCCCCTGTGCCAGAAGAAGAAAGGCTACCATCGTCCGTGTCATCAGCAAACCAAGCTGCAGGCAACCTGCCACCAAGAAAAAGTGATGATTCCGAGCTTGCGATCTCGCCATCAGAATCCGCACCACCGGTGTGCATCTGCTGTTGCATGTCTGTGGGAGTGCTCAGCAAGGACCCTGCGGCCTTCAGGTTTACGAACATCTACACGCTGCTTGAGCCGTCTCCACTTACGATGTTTGCGCGGCTTGGATTGTGAGAGTTGTGTGTCGGGTTCGGTTTTGGGGCTGGTTGTTGCTCGTGAGAATGCGTTTGGGCGTCCTGGGTGTAGTGTTAAGCTCATGTTATGGGCCTCGGACGACGTACTGACCGAAAAGGACCATGCTGTTGGATTGTGAGAAGCGACGACACAAACAGCCTGCATTGGCTTCAGTGGCGCATGTCTGGGACGGCTACCCAAACGAGTAATAACCAACCAGCCAGAGGAAATTAAGCCATCAACCATCACCATCATCATCATCATCATAATCATGGCCATGGCCCATCGTCATCGTCATCACCGTCGCCACACAATCACCATCACCATCATCATCGCCATCATCATCACCACCATCATCATCACCCATCACCATCACCATCATCATCGCCAGCAGCATCAATATCATCATCAACATCATCATCATCAGGCACCTTTATTTGTAATCCCTATATATCTATAAGCTACACTGGAGCACTTACAATGTGCTGCGGCACCCTTTCCTGATTGCCATCCTATCCACCGTTGGCCCGGAAATACTTGCGGAGAGCTGGGGAACTCCTGAAGTCCGCAGCACACCAAATGTAATTGTAGTACTGTAGGAACCTGATTAAGAAACCTTGGGCCTTTACTGGGGTTCCTTATATTAATCCTTGGAGCCAGGGTTTCTTAATCAGGTTCCTACATTATGCGTTTGTATGTTGCTTTCAGAAAACGTGTGAGTGTTCGTACTAATCTTACTAGGCTCGTAATTGTTCAGAACCCCAACCGCAAACCCGGTGCGCCTAACGGAAACCCTCAGCCCTCGCCGCAGGCTACCTGAACCCCAACAACCTAATGCCCTGAATCCCGCGCCCGAGTTGCAAGCCCGGTGCCCTTGAATCACAGAAACCCCACAGTCGCACAACATGTCAAGCAGAAAACACCAAACAGTGACGACACCAAACTTGAAACCAACAACGAAGACCGTCAATCCTAGGGAAGCCTTGAATCACAAACCCTAGAACTCAACCCTGAGCCCCCCCTGAAACTCCAAAACCTTCCCAAACCCTCAAAGTCCATCCTGTGCACCTACACTGCCAAAAAAACAACGATAGCCACACTGCCAGAATTGAAACCCAAGCCCTAACCCTAAACCCTTTTCTTCCTACACCTCAAAAGGCTAAATCCCAAAACCATCCCAATCCAAAAAAACGTAAACCCTAGACACCCCAGAACTTCAAAACCCTCCAGGACCTAGCCTACCCAGTGGTTTTGGGGTTCCCTTGGATCTTTGGCTCCTTATTCAATAGGGATTATCATCATCCCTGGCTCCTTAGCTCCTCCAGTATTTAGATGGAGCAAATCTACCGGCCTCATCTGCACCATGGGCTCAAAGGATCCTTCGTCGCTATCCTTGCACTTCGGGGCTCTGAATAGGGCCCCAAAAAGGCACATAAGCAAAAATTAGGATAGGGATCCCATATAAACCCGCTTAGAATGAAGCCCCAAAAGGTATGGATATCCCAATAAAATGCTTATGCTTATGTGCTTTTTGGGCCCCTAACTGAAAGGTCCGGGATGCAGGTCTTCAGTCTGCAGGTTCGGGCTTGTAGGGTACCCATAGGCCCCAAAGCAATTCCGTTTTGGGATTACCTTATAAGATTCTTTATATGGGTGGTTGTCAAAATTATGGTCCCTTTTTGAGTACCCTACACTTTCTAGGTGCCGTATGATAATAAGGACCCAAAAAGGGACCCTAATTTTGACAAACACCCATATGAACCCCCAAAAAGGAACCACTTTGGCGCCTCTGGGTAGGGCCTAGGGCTGTAAGGCGGCACTTTAAGGCTAAGGACCTTCTTGGAGGTTCATGGGTAGTTATAAGTCCCCTAAGATGGGTTATAAGTATAGTTACCTTACTTATAACCCTACTTACAACTTCCCATGAACCTCCAAGTAGGGTTTAGGGTGGTTTACAGGTTCGGGCGTATTGGGTTCAGGGCTTCTGGGTTTAGGCCAGGGCAGGGGTCTGGCGCCTTTCAACAGCGGAAAGCCTGGAAGCCGAAAAGACAAAGCCCCAAGCCGGGCCACCCTGCTTGACATGGGTGGTTGTCAAAATTGTGGTCTCTTTTTGGGTCCCTAATATAATACGGCACCGAGTATTTATACCCAGAAAGGGACCATATGGCAGCCCAGCTTCTTAGTTTTTGCCCGATGCCTGGAAAATGATGTTATTTAGGGGCCTTGATAGTTAGAATTAACCTTAGCTACGCGCCAAGGCCGCGAAGCGGACATGAACCCAAGCGCCCAAGGCCGGACACTACACCAATCTGAAATGCCATACCCCTCGAGGGGGTAGGGGGAGGGAGGTAGGGGACAATATTTCCTTAAATAGGCCTCATTATGTCCTTATTATAGGTATTAAGGCACCCTATCCCCCTGCCCCCCTAAGGGTCCTTATCACATACTGAAGCCCAAGGTGCCAACAAGGTAATAAGCACATCGGGACGGAGTGCCACATTCTCCGGTAGCTTCACATCAGCCTTGTCGGCATGCTGTATTGCAGTCTTGCTTCGTGCTGTACACTACCACTTCCACAATCAATGACTGCATCCAGATGCACCAAACATCATAAACCGGAATACTCCTATGTGGCAACGGCAAGAGGCCAAAGGGCTTGCGGTTCAGCCTGAGTTTCAGATGTTCGGAAATCCCGCGGATCTGGGTTGCATAACTCGAGGAATTCGGAATCTAGCCTTGGGTCTGAAATCTGAAACGCCCTTGTTGAAAACTAAGCCCCCGGACGGTATGGGTACCTGTGATTTACTCCTCTACTATTACGACGGCGGCTAGTACTGCGAGCCGCCATGCGACTGCAACTGCGACTACCAAGGCTGCTGCTGGTGCTCCTGCTCTACACTTCTAACACCAACTCCAACTGCTGTTCTTACTGCGACAAGGACTTCTGCTACTACCGCTATCACGACAGCGAACACTATAGTGGCACCATTCCCCCTACTACTCCTACTTACGTACTTGTGCTCCTGCTACTCCTCCTGCTCCTGCAAGTGTTGGGCCTAGATGGTCGAGCAGGAGGCGGTTGCAAACGCGGGGGCCATAACGGTTCGCCCATGACAACGCTACCGCTGGACACGTTCAAGAGTGAGAGTAGCCCCTCACCCTCCCCCAAGGTATCCATCTGGCTATGCAAATCGATAGAGGCAGAACCAGAAAACCAACAACGTGAAATCTGCGTTGCGGAAAGCCTAAGCGCCATGCCCGAACCCTCCCTAAACCCTAAACCCTCTTTAAATCCTAAACCCTAAACCCTCCTTAAACCCTAAACGGCCCTAACTAAACCCTCCTTAAACCCTAAGCCCTAAACTCTAAACCGAGTGGAAAGCCTCCAAGATCTGGTTCCAGCTTGGGTTGATGCACTGGCTGATGATTTGGGTCCTCGGCTGCTGGCCGCAGCGACCAGGACCATGGTTTTCCAAACACCCCAAGGGTCCATGTGCCCAAATGGGTGGTCGTGAAGATTAGGGTTCCCTTATTTTGGGGTCCTTACAAAATAAGGATCCTACGATTTAGGCCTACTATATTAGGGTCCCCTAGTTTCGGAAACTCCCAAATAGGGGGGTCCTGGAAGGGTTCGTATAAGCGTACCACAGCCTGGGTGGAAAAATACACGACGGAGAAACCTCGAACCAACCCTAGGGATCAAAATAGCCCAAAAGCCTTATATAGTATGGTCTTTGGGCCCCAAAACCTTAATATATGAGTCCTTAGATCCCCAGGGCAAGGCGAGGCATGTGTCCGGAGGGCCTGATATGGGCATGACAGGAACATGCTAGGTACTGCCGCCATACAGTAAGAGTCTATAATAGGGCTACTATTAAGGTCCTAATAGATCTACACTATGAATACAACTATTACTGAGTGGGGGCCGTACCCAAGGAACATGCAAAACAACATGACGCCGCTCAACAATCCCGCGGCCAGCATCCGCCTGAGATCCTCTGGGTGTCGAAGCAGATTAGTTTGGATGGGATTGCACGTGATCCTGGTGAGGCTTAGATGGCTTACATGAAGGCATAAGCCAAAGTCAGCACATGAAGGACGGGATGCTGGTGATATCACGACTGCCGCCAACTACTACTCAAACTGGAAAGAGCATTGTGGCCGAATGGGTGAAGCACGGACCTGTCAATCTCCTTCAATATACATTTTACAAGCACGACACTATACGAACTTTATGCCCCTACTTCTATGGCTCAGGATTCAGGAGTTAGAATGAACATGCCTGGCAAACTGTGTCTTCTCGACCAGACGTGGGAGAGCTTTGTGAGAAGCAAAGGGTTTTGAGGACAAGCATTGCGAAACCCCAGCAACTGAGACTCCTAATGCAACACCAGTATACCATGGCACCATAAATCCTACTGTGTTATACAGATACTAGACTGCTACTATACTATACTATACTATACCATCCACACTGCTATTATGGAATTAGGTCCCGAAAGACCATCCCTATTATTGTTTGGGGAACCTAATTCCATAATAGTAGTGTATATGGACCCTCAGGGTACTATGCTGTATCACACCGCTGAACTCTCCACCGCAGACGGAGAGTCCGGAGCACCGCTGACCCGAAGTTGATGGCCACCAAGGGATCAGAACTCCCTTCTTCGTCCTGTCAGACTGGGGAGTTTCCGAAAAATAGGGGTTCTTTACAGGGATCCTATAAGGGTTCCTTTCAAGGGGTTAGGGTTTAGAGTTTCCGGAAATTAGGGGCACCTTATGTTGGGCTCATTCCAATGAGGATCCGACTATTTAGGTAACAATCTTAGGGTCGCCCATTTTCGGAAAGTCCCACTTTGGTACTCTTGGCCCCAAACCCTACCTGGACCCTAAGAGGCCTACCTTGCTAGGGAGTTCGCTATCATGATTTCTTTGTATGAGTCCT